TGGTGTTGCTATATCCTCTTGCTTTGTAAGCCTACATTTCCTCTCTCCCAAACCCTTCTCCCTTTTGATTAGTGAAAGCCCTCTCCTCAGCTAATTTGATTTGCCAGTACACTGGTCCCAGCATGATTCAAGTGAATTCCATCTCATTAGAACAGTTCCTCCCTACCTTAGTACAGGTGCCATTGCCCACAAACTGAAACCTATCTCACCCATACCAATTTTTTCACATGCATTTAACCCATTAACTTTATTTACCTTATGCCAGTTTTCCCATAATCCAAAAATTACACAGGACCAGAATTAGGCCGTTCAGCCCATCGTGCCTGCTCCTCCATTCAATCATGGTTGCTATATTTCTCAACCCCATTTTCCTGCCATCTCCCTGTATCCCTTGATCCTCTTACCAATTAAGAACCTATCTTTTACTGTCTTAAACATACTCAATGACTTGGCCTGGACTCCAAAGCCTTAAGTTCATGCAAGAACTCAGCTACACCAAGAAACCTTTACGGATTAAGGGTACAACGTGGGTTCTGATCTCTTATGAGAAGCAGCTGGTTCAGTTACCACTGATTGTTGTAAAAGGTTCAGGCCCAAGCTTGATGGGGTGAAGTTGGTTGATTGGCTCTACATTTTTCCATTAGAAAATGGCTGCCTGAGTGAAGTCCTAATTGAATACCCAGAAGATTTTCAGGAAGGTCTAGGAACTATCGAAGGAGCTAAGGCCACCTTGCATATTGACCAGGAAGTAATTCCATGATTCTGCAAGGCCCACCCAGTGCCATTTGCATTATGGACAAAAGTACAGGCAGCAATCAGAAGGCTGGAAAGTGAAGGAATCATCAAACCAGTCCAGTTTCTGAAATAGGTAGCACCGGTCGTACTGTTGTGAAGCCCGACAGGTCATTTCACCTTTACAGCAATTTTAAACAAATGGTAAACCACTTTTTGCAGCTGGATAAATACCCAATCCCCCTGCATATTTATGCAAAGCTGGCGGGGGGAATGTTGTCTGTCACAAAACTAGACATGAGCCGTGCGTACTTGTAATTGTAGTTAAATGAGTATTCCAAAAGTATGCTACAATTAAAATCAATAAGGGTTTGTACCAAGATACGAGACTGCCATTTTGGTTATCATCAGCCTGAGCAACTTTTCAGTGGACGATGGAGAACATTTCACAAGGTCTATCCCAGGTCGCCATTTATTTAGATGATCTGCTAATGACAGGGAAGACCAATAAGGAGCACTAGAGAACTTGGATATAGTCCTTAGATGTTTTCTCAGGCAGACACATGCCTTAGAAGAGAAAAACATGCATTCCATACATGCCAAGTGACCTACTTGGACTACAGTGTTGCGAAGACCGGGTTACACCTGTTGGAAGATAAAGTGAGGTTGATCAAAGGAACCCTAGCTCCCTTATCTATGCTGGAGCTTAGGTTTTTCCTTAGACTGGTGAACTATTACAGAAAGTTCATACATTACCTGGCCTCCATCCTGGCACCTTTGCATGAACACTTAAAGAAGGGTCAGCCTTGGAAATGGTCACATAGTCGAGCTATAGCCTTCAGGGAAGTAAAGAGAAAGGTATCATCCTCTAACGTGTTGGGACGCTATGATCCAAATGAGATCTGGTATTGACATGTGATGCCTCCCTGTACAGAGTAGTATTAGCTCATAGGAGGCCCAATGGAGAGGAATGCTGAATAGTGTATGCGTCCAGGACTTTGCGTAATGCAGTGCATAAATACACCCAGACAGAGGAGGAAGGTTTGGTGGTAATATTTGGAGCCAGGAAGTTCCACCAATACCTTTACCAGTACCTCAAATTTGTAATTATAATGGATCGCAAACCCCTCCTAGGTCTACTTAAAATGAACATGGCAGTGCTGCCCATAGCGTAAGGCTGAATTCAGTTGTGGGCTCTAATACTAAGTGCATATGAATACAAGTTGGAATACTGTTCGGGAGGCTAAGAAGCAAATGTGGCAGCATTGAGCCACCTTGCGCTGGCAGATACACCACTAGTGGTACTGCCACTGGAAGAGTCCATTATGGTTTTACATCTTCTGGACACGGCTAACAATATCAGACTATGAATGTAGAGAGATCTGGTCCTTGCAAAACTGAAACAGGTGGATGGTGATGGGGGAAACTAAAGGGCCATCACAAGCATAATGGAAAACTGTTTGGACCCAGAGAGACTAGATCACAGTCAAGGATGGCTTATTATTATGGGGAGCAAGAGTGATTGTCCTGAGCAAAGGTTGCTGTCAGATACTGGCTGTACTCCACCAGAGTCATCCAGGGTTTCCAAAATGAAGATGTTGGTGAAAAATTATGTCTGGTGGCCAAAATTGCAGTCATAACAGTGTTGGTGTGGCAGTGCCCAGAGTGCCAACAAGGATAATAATGATAACCAGCAACTCCCCACATTTGTGGGAATGGGCGAATAAACCCTGGACTTGGTTACACGTTGACTATGCAGGTCCTTTCATGGGCTAAATGTTCTTAGTCATTGTGGACTCCCACTCAAAATGGCTGGACATGTGTAGAGTTCATTTGTCAAACATGGGAATGATGATAGAAAAACCGTGCACATCTTTTGCAATACGTGGACTGTTGGTCGTGTTGGTCAGATAATAGGCCATCATTTACCAACAGGTATTTACAACAGTATTTCCTAAAGTCAAATGGTATTTGACATGTAAAGAGAGATCCATACCATCCACCATCCAATGGTCTGAGAGAAAGAGTAGTCCAAACTTTGAAGGCAGGCTTAAAGAGACAGCCTACAGCTTCACTTGATACCAAACTGTCCTGGTTCCTATTTGAATATAGAACCACCCATAATGCAACTACAGGGATAGCTCCAGCAGAATTACTAATGAGGACAAGACTCTGCACCATGTTCAATCCGATCTTCCCGGATCTGGGGCGAGGGTGAAACGGCATCAGGAATACCAATGCTGGATACAAGACTGCAAGTGAAAGAGATAGTTTACTTCAGGGGATGAAGTTTGGTGTAGGAACCACGGGAATGGCCCTGTATAGGTGTGAGACATGGTAGACGTGAGGCCAGGTCCAGTGACATATAAAGTTTGGGTAAGTATGACGGTCCTAAACAAGTACATGGACCATTTGAAAGCTGCAAACTTGCAAACGGTATGGGGCAAAACATGCCCGACTCCTCAACTGTCTTTCCAACTGTTCCAGAATCTGTGGGTTCTCCCTCTCCGTCAAGCATTGAAGATACCTTGGAATCTGAAATGGACAAGGCGGATTTTACTGCCTCAGTGCATTTGCTGCCTGAAGAGGAGAATGAATTTCTTCCCAGATGCTCCGGGCACAGGAGGCAAGCTACAGTGTATTACATGCCACCCATATCTGAGGAACCTGACCCGATTCTAAAATGCCCCAGGAAGAGCTACACAAAACCAGAACTGGCCTATGCCCTTGGATTCAGAGGAGGAAGTATGCCATATACCCTATTAACCAACTTTTTTTGCTTTCTTGCTTCCTCCTGCCGTCAAAAATCTGCCTCACAGTGCCGGGGATCCAGGTTCAATTCTACCTTAGGGCGACTGACGGTGTAGAGTTTGCACATTCTCCCTATGTCCACGTGGGTTTCCTCCCACAGTCCAAAGATGTGCAGGTTGGGTGGATTGGCTGTGCTAAATTGCCCACAGTGTCCAGGGATGTGCAGGCTAGGTGATTAGCCATGGGAAATGCACGGTTACAGGGATAGAGAAGTGGGGGGGGAGGGGGGCAGGTCTGTGTGGGATGCTCTTCTGAGGGTTCTGTGGACTCGATGGGCCAAATGGCCTGCCTCGACACTGTAGAGATTCTATGGTTCTAACTTATGATCTATGGACATGCATGTCAAGGTCCCTCTGCTTCTGTGTACTTCCAAGGGCTCTGCCATTCAGCGTGTACTCTTTTTTTTGTTTACGATACAGAAGTGTTTGATAACCGTTGTGGACAGGATGGGCCTTTTCCCACGCTGTTAAAACTGACTGTACGACTCACGCCACACGTATATATGCGGTGACTGAGATACTATAATCTCACTTGTCTGCGGAAGTAACTTTAATTTTAAAAAAAACTCTGTTCTGGCTCTCACAGCCCATTTGAGGTTTAAAGGTTCGAAAAAAAAGTTTTCTTGATATCCTGAGTATGTTATCTTCGTCCACACAGGATTTACATGGCCCCTGAGAGAGCGGGTGTTTAGTTTTTGTGGTAGCTCCCTGGACTGGATTAACATTTGCAGGGATCACCATCCCCACACAGAATCGTTGACAAACGCATTCCTGTTTTTGTTTGGGTGTGGGTGTTGTGCTTTTAGTTTTTTACTTTTTGTACCAGTAGATGTCACTTTGAGCGGCGGTTATTTTCTTTGGCACTGAGAGATGACCAAAACCTGGGAAACAGAGAAGGAACAGCGTTAACACGTACAACTCTTAGGGGAACATTTTAGTTTTTATTTTTTTCACTCTAAAAGTAATTAACTATCAACCACTGTCTTACGCTTTAATTGATTAAGCTACAGCGTGGTCGACTTTTACAGTTTTTAAAAAAAATTCCAACTGTTAAACTGAATTTTTAAAAAATCTCACTCGATTAAGCTTAGAAAATTTACAAACATTCATGTGAACTGTCAATGTCCTATTAACAACATTTTAACTTCTGGTCAGCAACTACACAAGCTTCAGCTCTGCCCGGTCGTTGCATCAGGTTCATATCCTTGGGTCTTTTCTTTTGACTTTCAATTCCATTTTTTTTTCTACCACTCGTTTCTGTTTTTTGTTGTTCACAACCTAGTTCCCTGTTTGCGACCCTGTAGGTACCCCCGGGGGTGGGGGTGGGGGAGTTAGTTCGCAGACACGGGTGCTCTTTGCAACTCCAGAATACGGTGGACAGCATAGGCGAGCGAATGACACAAGACTCGCCCAAAGTGAACGAGCAACTTCAAAGCCGCTCAGACACCACACCAGCTTCACTCTGTCTCCAGTGACTCACTCCATAGTACAGGACCGATCTAAAAACACTGCAACTGGTTTCATTTGTAAACCCACGGTACAGATGGCCGTGGCATTGTACAGATCATACACCTTTTCAAGAGAGATCGATCGTTTATGTTAAGCAAGCCATCGGATGACAAGCCTGAACATTTCAGAAGTAAAGACTAAAATAAGATATCTTATAGATTTAACAAGGCGGTGGAAATGGCTGGTGATTGATTCAACGTCTGCAACCTCCTTCTCCAATAGGGCTTCCTGGACAAGCCGGCTCCCCAACAACCGGATTATCTCTACTCTTCCTGTCTCCGTGTCCGATCAGTCAGGAGACTCAAAAGAGAATCTGCATCATATTTTTTTGGCGGAAACTTTTTCCGGAACAGATAGTGGTGGCTGTGGCTGGAAAGGCTGGTGCTTTGGCGATAACATTTCCTTCTCCCATCTCTCTCTGTCAGTGCCTTTACGAGCTGAGACTGTTTGCACTCGACTCCAGGCTGAGACTGCCCAACACCGAGGGCTGGACCTGTGATGCCGCAGCTCGTCTTCTGACGCCCTTCCGATAATGTAATTTTAAACAGCGGTGTGAGGAGCTGAAGATGGGGGGCAGTCATTCTCACAAAACTCCGGTTTTTGATGAGAACGAGGACGGTAAGTGTACTCAACATTAAACTTTGGGATCATATTTAGTTTGAAGTGAAGTTGTGAAAATGTTCAGTCTCCTTCAATATAGGGTTAACATTTTGAGTCAATGATTGCAAATAGATTTTAATGTGTTCTGAAACTGTTCAAAACAAACCTGACCAACTGTCCTTATGAAATAAGGGGCTATGTGAAGATTATCATCATGCTTGGTAGAGAAAGTGGGAAACAAAAAAAATTATAATTTTAGACAAGGAAACTGGAAGATTGATAGTAACTTTGGCAGACCGTTCCTTTTATAGTACGTAGAACCCAAAATACCCTGGAATGTGTTTGCATCATTTCTTTCCTTTAATCAGAGTAAACAATCCCTGTCCCATTATCTTGGGACGTGTCCTATATTTCTGTTAAATGTTTCTGGTTTATCTGCGGTGAAGCAAACAAACCAGGTGTTCTACGTTCTTTTAAGAAATAATTTCAGAAATATATATTGCTTTTCATGACAGTTGTGCCAACTTACTGGTGGCCCTGAGCTGCCTTCAAATATTCTAGTTGTGTTCAGGCAGGCTGGTTGACTAAGGACGGTACCATAGTCAATTCCGAACCTGCTCTTAGTGTACGCTTTGTGTCATAATCGGAGATGCATGAACCTTGGAAAGAAAGGGCAGATTCAAGCTTTGTAAGAAGCAAGTTGATTGATGTGGACAATAATAATGTAGACTTAGAGCATTCCCATGCTTTTTCTTGGAGCCCTTGCTATTTTTTGACGGAGGCTATAGCTTAAGGTTTACCGCTCCACATCAAGCATGATGGACGGGAGACTTTCGACTCTTATTGTATACCATCAGTATATTTCAAGGATTTATAGATTAATGATCAACCTGCTTCATAACGTTATGATTGCATCTTTCATGGGCTGAGGAATAGGAGCTGATGTGGGCTGTTCAACCCTTTTAGCCCATTCAGCAAAATCTTGTGTGGTATTTTAACTCCATTCATAGAATAAGGAAATGTTTCTATTTTGGCAAAGATCGGAGCAGCACCAGGGAGTTGGGTAGCCAACCAACAGCAAAATACTGTGGATACTGGCAATCTGAAGTAAAACAAAACAAAAAAATACTGCAGAAACTCAACAGGTCTGGCAGCATCTGTGGAGAGAAAAAAGAGCTAATGTTTTGATTCAAGTCTAATATGACTCCACTTTGGAATTAAGAACGCCATAGCCTCTTCCACATAACCATAACATTATTAGCTCCATCATGCCTCAGAACATCTGCTACTGAACCCCTCACTCATACCTTTTTACTTCTAAGATAAACTATATCAATCTGTCACCTAAAACACTGCATAAAACTTGAATGCCAGTGAAACTTTGGACGTATCCTAACATGCACAAAAACTGCTCACCCATCTCCCCTGCGCTCATTAGCTGAAATTTGTTCTGTGCAATGATGTATGATTTTTGAGTTCTCATCCTTGTTTTCAAATTCCTCCGCAGAAGAGTCATGTTGGAGTCGAAGTGTTAACCCTGTTTCTCTCTCCAAAGGTGCTGTTTTTGTTTTAGTCGAATAATAAGGATTTGGCTATGCTGGAAGTTGGGAAGAAGTTAAGTTGAAGAATTGGGAGAAACCTGCAGAGGGGAATTTTGGATCAAAAGAGGGAGTGAGAGAATAAGAGATAGCCAGCTACTTTTACAAACAGCCCTTCATGAGCTCTGCATCCCACCGATACTTTTGAAGCACGGTGTATGCTGGGAGGAAGTTCGGAAGAGACTGCTACAGCCTCTGCCGGCCCAGAGAAGGTGTAAATAAGATTTACAATGATGGAAAACTGAACAGGCTGAGGCGCAATCCTCTAGAACGTTGAGGGCGAACTCAGATACCGTTAAGAATATAAAAAGATTTTATGGGATAGAGAAAGATATGTTGCACCTTTTGGGGAAAACTAGTAGATGTAAATATATAATAAAAAATACCCGATGGTGGTTAAAATAGGAAATTTATTACTACATTGTGTAGCTGAGGTGAATTATATTGATATATTGAAGGGAAGGTTAGTTCAACATGATGAAGAACGGAATTGAAGGTTGTGTAATGGAGTTCAGATAAAGAGGTGATGTGGAGGTGCTGGTATTGGACCGGGGTGGAAAAAGTCAGAAGTCACACAACCAAGTTGTAATCCAACGGATTTATTTTGAAATCAAAGGCACTCGGAGTGCTGCTCCGACCTCAGAGGAAGGAGCAGCGCTCAGAAAGCTTGTAATTTCAAATAAACCTGTTGGACTATAACGTGGTGTCATGTGACTCCAGATAAGGAGGGTTCGTGGGGAGCAGAAACATTGTCACAAGCTAGGTTTTTTAATTGAATGTGCAGTTCCACATATATTAGAGACAAAAGTTTTCATGGCTTTCCCTGATGCAACTTGTCTCTGCATAGAAAAATATGTATTGCTCCATATGTTATAAATATTTTACTCTGATATGTTCCCCTGTTACTGAATGAAAGTGAGATATTTAAAACAAAACTGCATTTGCTATTACCTCACTCCCTTGGCTTGCTAAGGATTTCACATCTTTTTATAGTGACTATAGCTTTTAAAGTTAAAGCAAGCTATTTTTAATGGTTTGCATTCTATATATATTAAAGTAGCACAAGGCTATATGAGTATACACATTCATTTATGATAGTACCTTTTAGAAAAAAATTACTAAAGAACTTCATAAGACTGTTATATAAAATGTGACACCTAGCTTGTAAGGAAATATTAGGTGAGGTTAGAAAAAGTATAATCAAAGGGTCTGGTTTTAAGGACCATCATAAAGGAGGATAGAAAGTTGGAAAAGTTTAGGGAAGAGATTTCAGAGCCAAGGAACTAGACAACTGAAGGTATGGCTGTCAACTTAATCCAGGATGTGCAAGAGGCTGAAGTTGCTGGAGGACACAGAAGTTGAAGGGTTATAGGGCTGGAAGAGAATTCAAAGGTAGTGAGGGATGTGGCAATGGAAGAATTAGGAAACAAGAAGGAGAATTCAAAAACAAGACATTGCTGGACTGAGTTAATGTAGGTTATTAAGTGCAGGGATGCTGGATGAGCAGATGTTTTTGTTGAAGTTAGGATATATCCAGCAAAAATTTAGTTATACTTGAGTTTTATGGAGCGTATAAGGTGTTAGGTTGTGCAGAAGAGTATTGGAATAATTCAGCCTGAAGTAGGAACGGTATGAGTGAGGGTTTCAGCAGCAGATATGCTGAGGCATGATGAAGGTGGGCAATGTTATGGGTATGTGGGACGGGTTGTGGTGTTCAAATGATAAATGCAATGCTTAATCTTTTCGTAGCACCAGATGATGCTTAAAGAAAGGTTAGAACAAGCTCACTTAACAATTCTTGAGCTACCAATAAATTCAGGGATATTCTTATTTCAGTAGGCTGTCCACCTATCTCCTGATGAATCATTATGGGGAGGAAATATTATTTTAACTATCATACAATTTTATCGTTTTGCATGGCTTGCTTGCAATGGAAAATAATGACAAACATGTCAGAAATGACCAATAAATTCAAGAAGGATTTCAGGAAAAAAGTCTTTATCAAGAGAGCAGTTAGAAAGTGAAACTGAATTGAATCATATGAGCATGTTTGTGACAAAACTAGATAAAGAGGGAGAAAGGCATAGGTTGTTTGATAAATTTAGATGATCCAGGGTAGGAGGAAACTTGTAAAAAAAAACTGCCTGAACTGAATATGATGTAATTTTTGTTTTGTTCCTTGATTGGACATGGGCATCACTGGCCAGGCCAGCATTTATTAGTAACCAGATTTGCACAGAGGGCTGTTAAGTGTCAACGACATTGCTGTGGGCCTGGAGTCATGTGAAGGCCAAACCAGGTAAGGATGACAGTTTCTTTCCTTATAAGACATTATTGAACCAGATGCATTTTTCCCAACAAGGGTTTCATAGTCATATTTGTTGAATTCAAATTCCAGCCGTGGCTGGATGCAAACCTGTGCTGACTTTTTGCATTAATAGTCTAGTGATAATACCACTAGGCCATCACCTCCCTGGAAGTGATACCTGATACCTAATAATAGGTGATATATATTTATTTGCTTTAAGCTCATCTGGCTGGCCATGGCCTGCTCAGAGCAGAGTAATAAACCTCTCTGCATCACAATTGCTGCAGAACTTCATTCACTGTTTATAGACACCACTTCAATTTTCCTCAAATAAATCTTGGATCTGTTAGATGTTCTATGAACATATATCATAGAACCCCTACAATGTGGAAACAGGCCCTTCAGCCCAACAAGTCCACATCGACCCACAGACCATCCCACCCAGACCCATCCCCCTATAAATCCACCTAATCTACACATCCCTGAACACTATGGGCAATTTAGCATGGCCAATTCACCTAGCCTGCACATCTTCGGACTGCTGGGAGGAAATCGGAGCACCCGGAGGAAACCCACGCAGACAGGGGGAGAATGTGCAAACTCCACACATACAGTCGCCCAAGGATGGAATCAAACCTGGGTCTCTGGCGCTGTGAGGTAGCAGTGCTAACCACTGAGCCACCATGCCATCCTATGAGAAACCTAGGCTCGTCTGGGAGTTGAACCCAGGACCTCTCGCATGATATATGCAATAAAAGAAAACTGTATAACCCCAAGTGTCTGTGTACCCGCTTGTCCCCACGTAATTCTCCTGTAAAATGCATTACCAAAGTCTTTTGTGATTTATGCAAAATGCAATAAACTGCCAATGTTTTTTGTTTCTTAAATGTGGATGTTGGCAACCTATTAGATCTCTGCATTAAAACTGAATTAATGAGGTTAGGCTAATCTTTTTAACCTGTTTCAAAGCAATAACTTGCTTACATGGCATTTTTTCAATGCATATTCAAAAAGTTAATTCAGTAATCTTATTAAAATATCACTCCATTTTATGAGTTGTCAACAGAGTGTAGGCTCATCTATTCTAGTTATTGCATTCAGGCACAATGCTG